TGAATTAATGTATTTACATGTGTACACACCTATGCTTATACCTCTATCGATAGCTTTTCTTCCTAGATCGTTCCTCTGTTTCCTTTTACCTTCCTTTGGCCATCAAATTTACCATACGTATTTTCCTCATTTTGCTCTTTATTTTTAAATCTTCCGGTTCTATTGAACACCGTATGTAGACTTTAGCACATTTCTATGCACAAATAAACATATTTATGACATACAGATTCTGAAGATGGGCATATCTATATGTATGCACATATATGTATGTACATGTCCATATATACATATGTACATAGATATATGTACCCATCTTCAGAATAAACATATTTATGTAGCTTAAAAAATTAAACATTAACATGATAAAAACTAAATATGGCCATCTATGTAAATATCTAGAGTAAAGTTGAAAAAGCTTTTTGTTACATTTTTTACAGACACAGCCAAGGAGAGAATGAAAAAAGGACCCTAGGCTCGGTGTCTGCTGATGGCGTCAGCATAACGCTGACTCGGCCCCTGAACTACATGCACTTAGGCGTCACTGTCCCACTCCCCGATGGAACCTGGTTTGAAGCAAGAGCAGAAGTTGGAGTTCTTACAAGGAATATTGTAATACAGGGATCTACTAATGTGGAGTGGAGTAACAAAATTCCAGCATGTCCAGATGGGTTTGACACAGGTAATTTTAGCAGCAATAGTGTGGCCGCTATGATTCCGCTACACACTTGCAACACGTATTTGGGTTATACTGAGATACAAGATTGTAATCTCAAACTCCCAGTTGTTATCTGATAAGAATAATTAAATGCTGAAAATTTGAAATGCTAATGGTATTTTTGAAGGAAGCCTTCTGGGTCTGTGAATTGGCATGGGTCTAAAAAATAAGGAAGAAGCGACAGATTTCTACTTGTGAAACTTGAATTAGGCTTCAAAAATCTACCGTATATACTCATGTATAAGCCGAGTTTTTCCAGCACAATTGTTTGTTGTTGCAGGTTTTGTGGTAAAATTAGGTGCTCTGGTGATATTCGGGTTGGCTTATACTTGAGTGTGTAGGTCTATGACTTTTCTGCCTATACTGAGGTAAGTAAGTCAAAAAGTACTGTGAGTAAGGGACCAGTTCATACATGCACAGATTCATTTCAAACAGAATGTGTTTAAATCTATCTCTTTGATTATGGATGGCTGCAGGTAAGTTTGCTCAAAAACACACCTGTGTTAGTCTCATTGGGGTATCTTCAAAAAAACAGTACAACCAAAGCAGTGGCTCCCAAGGGGCCCTGCTGTGCCTGTTAAATTGAAGGCAGAGAGGAAACCTCCAAAGAGCTTGGTGACTGTTTTTGGAATTCCAAATCTTGATAGGTTTTCTTGAAGGACAACAGGACAATTATGGGGGCTTCTGCTGAAGCTTTTTAAAATCTGAAAACTGCACTGATGAGAAAAAGACTAGGAAGTTGTGCTGAGGATTTCCCCATATGGCATTTGTGTGTCAATTTCTGACCCCATCATTTGCTCTTCTTTCAGAGTAGCGAGGGCTGTCTTATGAGGTGTTCTTTGGGAAGCCTTACCCCTTTCACCCTACAGTTCTGATCTTGCCTCTTTAGACATAATTTCATTCCCCAAAGTCAACATTTAAAAAGTACACAATTTGAGCCCCGTGAGGATGCCAAGATGCCCATTTTGATGGACATCAGAGAGCACAGAATCTTAGAAAGGTGTGAGAGGGATGAAACACTGCCTTCAGAAGTATATAGACCAAGGGAGGACATGGCAAGACAAAAATCGCTTCCCATTTTGGTAGTTTTGTTCCATAAAGATTTCTATGATTTCATAGCAATACTTTTGACTTTTTCTCACATATATGCCAAAGAACACTGTAGTTTGTTACCCAGCTGTCCCATTTTCTAGAGTCCCAAAATTGGTTATCTCTTACCACAGATTACTTCAGGTCAGAATACTCTGATTATCCCTCTGACCTGTAGTGTGGTCATAAAGCCTACTTTTTTAGGAGCTCTGGAGATGCTGTAAACAGTGCACTGCTAACCACAGTGTCAGATTTTCAAAGTCACCAGCTGATCCTTGGGAGAAAAATGAGGCTGCCTGTTCCTATAAAGCTCTTCAGCCTCAAAAACCCTGTATAGGGTGGCTATGAGTTGAAATGGGCTTGCTGGCAGTGACATTGGGATAGCTCTGTCTCTGTCTAAATACTTAGAGAGATCTTGATAGGACAAAAGGTAACTCACCAGGCTGCTAACTGAAAGGATGGTGGTTGGAACCCACCCAAAGGTATCTCAGAAGAAAGGTCTGGCTCTCTGCTTTTGAACAATGTATTCTTCAGAATCCTGTTCTACATGGCCACTCTGACCCACAAAGGGTCATCAGGCGTCTGAGACCATGTGACAGTATCTAGGGTTTTTATATCTGTTGTTATGTGCACACCTCTTGGCTTCTACCACCTTTGGCCCCATTTTTCCCATTGAGGTCAGAGAACTCACTTCCACTGCTTCGTCTTCCTTCAGTATCTCTGTGTGTTAGTCTGGGTAGACTAGAGAAATAGATTCAAAGACTATCATATGTGTATAAGAAAGAGCTTTATATACAAGAGCAAATGAATATTGAGAAAACATTCCAGCCCAGTCCTGATCAAGTCCTTATAAGTCTGATATTAACCCATATGTCTGATGCCTCTATAAAGTCATATTCAGACTCATGAAACACATGCAATGACGTTGAATGCAGGCAGATCACAGGCCAGTGGGTGGAAGGTCTTGTGAATCCAGTAGCAGTGTTAGCATCTCAGTGCTGGCATCGGTCTCCACGTGGCTCCTCCTGCTCCAGAGCTCTAGCCTTGTTCCATGTATCTTGTCAACAGAGAAGTCTCACAGGGAGTCAGCATATGTCCCGCTTCCAGCGAGCTATTTATGTCTTTAGCACCTCCAAATGAGACCATTGAGCTGTGACCTGATTGACAGCCTAACCTTCACTTGTAAGTCTCCAATTGACAACAGTTTATGTAACAACCACACCCTGCCACTAGAGAACGTCACTGAGCACTTCAAAGGGCTAGTGAAAGCAAGCTTGGGCCACAGCTAAGCCTGAGTTGTTGAGGAGAAGGGACAATTCTGTTAGGCTGCAGACAGAGAGAGCTGATGAGAAAGGCTGTCTGGCAGAAGTTGTGCCCTCTGCTTGGGAGATGCAGGAGCCCACTGGGACCTCCTCAGCTGAGGGCGAGAGCCAAAGATCAACCACCTCAAGCTTAGCTTTCTCTCATCCTTTCCTTTGCTTCTTGAGCTCATAGAAAAGATAAGGTAGAAATCACATGTGAATAAAAAGGCACCAGTAAGATGGAAAAAAATCATTATTTAATAATAACTCTGTAAGGTGGCTTTTCTCCTATGATATTTTTAAAAAAACATTTTTACAGGTGAATTTGCTACACAGACCTGCCTCCATGGAAAGTTTGGAGAAGAAATAGGAAGTGACCAGTTTGGAGGCTGCATTATGTTTCATGCTCCGGTACCTGGTGCTAACATGGTAACTGGAAGGATAGAATATGTAGAGGTAAGAGGTGTTATTATTAAATCATAGTAGTTTGAGACCTCCAACAGGTATCGAGCTCCTACTGTTTTCCAGATGCTACTTATAATCATGTAGAGGAGACAGATAAATAAATAATATCAATGTGCCCAATTAAAATTTTATGTAAGTTATAATAGTATATAAATATGTGCAAAACTATGTCAGTTTCCATGAGATTATGAGCATATATACATCTTATTCACATTTAATCTACATACTCAAGTTTTAGCACAGCTCCTGTGAAACATCCGCTAGAAGAAAGAAATCCAAAAGCAAAGACAGAAAGAGAGGGAGGGAAGGAGGGAAGGACGCAGGGAGACGGAGAGGCATGAAAGGGAGAGGAAGAAACAGAGGAGGAAGGAGGAAGGAGGAGAAAAATCCAGAAAGTGCGATAGAGCAACACTATTTCACAAGCGCCTGCCTCCGTCTCAGTGGTGAAAACCAGTCTGAAGGGAGTAAGCGCATCACAAAGCAGAGCACTCTGGTGGGAAAGGCAGCAAGGGGCAGGGAGCCGAAGGCCAAGGCGGTGCTACATGGGGTGCTGGTAAGTGAAGGAGGACAACTGGATGCAGCCGTAGATTTGCCCAGGACTATGGATTTACAGCCTGTTCATAGAGCAAATGGATTTTCCATGGAAGCATTTTTCCGTAAGAACCTTTAGAAGATAAACTATGAAAGGGTGGCTAATATTCAAGCTAAAAAGTTAGTTTATACAGAGATAAAGTAGAGATAGTTCAGAAATGTATTCATCAATGAAGCAAGTGAATGACAAGTCTTGAAAAGAAGAACTGAAAGGGAGGCTTTTCTAGAACTGTAGTCCTTTCAAGAACAAACTTTGAATCACACCACTCTTGGTGTGTGAATGTTTATTGATTTGTAAGAGAGGTACCTGTATGATTAGTTAATTTACTTAGGGCGATGTCTGTTGTCAACAAGAATGAATGGGTGCATGCTTCCAACATCCTTCTTGACAACACTGGGGGTTTTTTGTTGTTGTTGTTGTTCTTTCTGATTAACTGTTTCTTGTTCTCAAAGCGCCGCTGACAGAAGTCTACTAAAAGTAGAACAAATGCCCACTCTCCTACATTTATTCTTGGTTGCTTGTGCTTGTGTTATTATTCTCTTCGATTCACGCTTTCTTTTCAGGAATCCTTTTAGCCCCTTGGCCCATTTTCTGAGGGCGAATCTAATCAAAACCAGATAGTAAAATCCATAAGTATGATAATCCAAATATCTCTTTAGGTAAAGTAATACAATTGTGGCTTCTAGGTGGTGAAATGTCCCTCCCCTTGGTCATGCTGCACTTGTGTCCCATCTGAATACACACTGAGTGCAGGCACTCAGGTTAAACCATATACTAACCATCAGTAATACTGACTTTTTATTTTTTTAGTTGACCTAAAAATAAACAGTAGTAATCTGATTGTATGGACACGCACACTGGTGTAAGAAGCCAGCATGGCACAATGGTTAAGAGTTTGACTGCTAACCTTAACATTCAGACCCACCAGTCGCTCTGCAGGAGATCAAGTTGGCAGTCGGACTCCACTGAGGTTTAGAAGCTTAGAAACCCGAACATGATAGTTCTATTCTGCCCTGGAGGGTCGCTGTGAGTTGGAATCAACTTGGTGGTGGGCACGAGTATTCTGTGACTGGAACACGGACCCATTCACAGACCCACACAGTGTTTCATAGGAGCACAGTTGAGAGTCAGAACGATGTGGATTAAATGGAGTTTGGGGATCATGAGCAAGACGGTCAACCTTTCTACCCCAGTGTTTGTCCAACCATGAGATGGGATTGATGGTAGTGGCTACTTTGTAGGGTTGTGGAAAAGAAGACAGTACAGACATTAAACATGTAGCACATATTTGGCACATGGTAAACATTTAATAAATGTTCTTATTATTAGATAAAAAAGCAAATTAACAGCGGTTTCTGTGACTCATTCTCCTTCAGAGGAAAGGAGTTTTACTTTCAAAGCACACAAGGTTGTTAATACACTAACATGAAAAACTGAAGAGTTTAAGATGACTTTGAATTAAAAAAGTACAAAAACAAAACAAACAACTCCCCACCACTGAGTCAATGCTGATTCACAGTGACCCTCTGCAGGTTTTATAACTGCTTATGGGAGTAGAAAGCCCAGTCTTTCTCCCATGGAGCTGCTGGTGGTTTCGAACTTCCGAGTATGTGATCACAGCCCAAAGCTCACCCACTATACCACCAGGGCTCCTCCATGAGTCTATTTGGTAAAAAATAAGACTGTTACACATGGATCCTATTAAAAAATAATGAAGAGGGATCAACAAACATTTTCAAATGAGAAACATAAACAAAGGGAAGATAGAAGTATATTTAAAGTTAATATAAAATCGAAAACATTTTAGAGGAGAAAAATACAAACGAGACAAATGCTGAGTCTGTGTGATCAGTAAATGGCTGTGATTTCTGGACCCGACAGGTATTCCATGCCGGCCAGGCTTTCCGGTTGGGGCGCTATCCAATCCATTGGCACCTGCTTGGAGATATGCAGTTTAAATCTTATGTAAGAGGCTGTGCAATTCACCAGACTTATAACAGAGCCGTTACTATCCATAACACACATCACCTTCTGATCGAGCGGAATATTATCTATGATATCAAAGGAGGAGCATTTTTTATAGAAGATGGTATTGAATATGGCAATATCCTGCAGTATAACTTGGCCATATTTGTACATCAAAGTACCAGTCTTCTGAATGATGATGTGACCCCAGCTGCATTCTGGGTAACCAACCCAAACAATACTATACGGCACAATGCTGCTGCTGGTGGCACTCACTTTGGCTTTTGGTACCGAATGAACAACCATCCTGATGGACCATCCTATGACCGAAGCATCTGCCAAAAAAGAGTTCCTCTTGGAGAATTCTTTAACAATACCGTTCACTCTCAAGGTTGGTTTGGACTATGGATATTTGAAGAATACTTCCCCATGCAAACAGGATCTTGTACATCTACAGAGCCAGTGCCTGCGATGTTTAAGTCACTCACGACTTGGAATTGTCGAAAAGGTGCAGAGTGGGTTCATGGAGGTGCCCTTCAGTTCCACAATTTTGTGATGGTCAATAATTACGAGGCTGGAATCGAGACCAAGAGGATCCTGGCTCCCTATGTGGGAGGCTGGGGTGAAACCAGTGGAGCAGTGATTAAAAATGCCAAAATAGTTGGCCATCTCGATGAGCTGGGAATGGGCTCCGCGTTTTGCACAATGAAAGGCCTGCTTCTCCCCTTCAGTGCAGGCTTGACGGGGTCCTCCATACACTTCATGAACTTTGACCGTCCCAACTGCGTAGCTTTCGGTGTGACATCCATCACTGGAGTTTGTAATGACAGATGTGGAGGCTGGAGTGCCAAATTTGTTGACATCCAGTACTTCAACACACCAAACAAGGCCGGGTTTCGATGGGAGCATGAAATGGCACTGATTGATGTGGATGGCTCGCTTACAGGTAATGTTATTTTTCATGGGTGACAAACCACACTGGAAATAGACTTTTGTTAACCTAGGAAGTGGAATTATCAAAGAAAATTCAGATAAATCCCACAGAGACCCAAGTTCCCAGCTGTGTAACGACTTTAAGCTTATAGGCAAGGTGGGACTGGTGGGACCCAGGTGGGACCTTCTTGTCTGGAGAAGTCCCAAAATTAAAGCCGCTGACCCCAGATATGCCCTTTCTCTCTTGCATTTGCCCCTCTCATTTTGGATTTACAGCCAATTTTGAGAAATGTTTTTGGAGACATTGGTCACCAAAGTAGTCATTTCAGTTTTCCAATTCCTCCACCTTATTGTCCACTAGTTATACTATTAAGAAACGGTATAGAGGACCATGCAATTTCTCCAGCCAGCCATGTCCGTAGACCTGTAAGTTCCAGGTTACTTACATTAAGAAATCTGGTCCCACGGGCACATCCTGCTAAAAAGTCTCCTGCACTGCAGGGTCAAAGTCATTTACAGGCCTGCTGTTAACCCTTTTATTCCCATGTTGAAATTCAGAACTTGTTCAAAGAATATGTTAACTCTCGTACAAAATTCAGTAGATTCCCTAGCTCAAGTATTTTTTAGCATTTCAAGTTCAGAACATGTCATATTTTCTGCTGCACACATTCATTGCTTCTAGAATTTAGAGTTTTTAAAAATGTATCATGTTAAAGGAATTTCTGTGGTAAAACAAGGGTGTCAGAGGAAAGGAAGATGACTCTCCAGGAGATAGATTGGCACAAGGGGCTACAATAATGGGTTTAAAATTTAGCCACAGTTGTGAAGATGGTGCAGGATCTGGCTATGTTTCATTCCATTGTATGCACAGTTGCTATGGGAGTGGACTTGCGAGTACCTACAAACAACAATGAGGCATACTGCATAATGCGATATAAGAGACAGAAAGCTTACCGGTATTTCCTTTCAAAAGATTCTTTGAAAATGAAACACTATTCATCTCAATATTTAAAGTTCTCAACAGCGGTTGTTGACTTCTGTCTCAGATCTAATTGTGCCTTTACAGAAGGAGAACATTTGGGCCCTTTTGCTTTGTAACTCTAGGTAACTTTTAGTTTTACATAGTTCAGCTTAGATGTTTAATGTTAGTTGGCAGTACAGTAGTTTACGTGGCAAGTTCTACGGTCAGATTCCCGGAATTGAATCCTGCTTTCAAGTAGACTGCTAACTGAAAGGCCAAAAGGTCAAACGCACCACCCACGCTGTGGTAGAAAGACTACCCCCATAAAGATTGACAGCCTCGACTGCCCTAGACGGGGCTGCTCTGAGGGGGCAGCCACTCGATGGCAGAGGAGGTGGTGTCATTGACTGTATTCCGAATGTCCTTCCCATCGTCTATTCTGCAAATACTCTAGTGCTGATGTTCTATTTCTGCCACATCCATGTTAAATCTTTCACCAGAGTCAACGAAAATATTATTTTACTACCACTTATGTTAGCACCAATTTTATCAAGGCGGCGTCATGGGTTATGCAGTGCAATGCTAACCACAAGGCCGGCAGTTGGAAACCTCTAGCCGGTCTGAGGAAGAACCAGGAGGCTTTCTACTCCTGGAAAGAGCGACCGTCTCAGAAACCCAGAGTGGGCTCTCCCTGTCCATCAGGGTCGCTTTGAGTCGGAATCCAGTAGATGGCAGCAAGCACGGGGTCTTGTTTTCCTATTTCTATCAGTGGTCCAGGGGCCACCGTGCGTGGACGTTGCAGATAGTTCGCCAGGGCCATGAACAACAATAACAAACGTGACCTGGGAAATATACAGTTTTGTTCCTGTCCTAGGACGCCCGGGACACACTGTCATCCCACACAGCCCATTGCTGGATCCGTCCCATTGTACCCAAGAGCCCGAGTGGAGCATCGGATTCCCTGGGTCCGTCTGCGATGCCTCTGTCAGCTTCCACCGTTTAGCGGTCAACAAACCTTCCCCAGCCTCGCTGCTGGAAAAGGACGTGGTTCTCTCGGCCTCTTTTGGTAGGTATTTTCCTAAAAAGTTCTCATTTTCTTTCGTCTTCACTGGGTGCAGCACATTGATATCTGTGCAAGTCCAGGCAGAAACCAGTAAACTCAGTCGGGTACTTGAGGAACATTGGAAACGCTGATGGAGCAACTCGATATTCTGCTTAGTAAGGAGCCCCAGACAACAATATAACGGAGAGCAGCAGAGTTGGCCTAGTCCTTGGAGCAAAACAGTAAAAATATACTTTTGTTTTTGTCACTAAAAGCAAAAATGTTCATTTTATTTCCTGATGGAGATGAAATGGGGAGAAACATTTGCTAGCTGAGTAGCAGCTGTATGCCAGTTCCCAGAGACTGGCTTGATTCACCTGTGTTACAGAAAAGAAACACCTGGAACACCAGCTGTGCTGGTGCGCTGGACACCGGATGGTTCTCCTAATGCTCCCTCGGAAATGCAGGCTAGAGAGGCTATCAATAGCTGTTCTGGTGATAAGTAGGACCCCAGTGCATGGAGACCCAGCCAATGGCAGTGAGTTTTGTTTTGTTTTTTCTCATTGCAATGGCAATTTCAAAAGGTCATGCACTCTCAAGCAAGCTCTTTTCAAGTCATTGAGAAAGTCCTGTGGTGGCCATTGGCAAAAAAAAAAAAAAATGTCAACCAACAACAGAGCAATCTACTCCCCCTACTGACACAGTGGCTGTGAAGAGAGCCTAAGAGCTCAAACCGAAAGGCTGTAAGGCTGGCGCAGGGCGGTGCTTCCTTCTGTTGTACACAGCGTTGCTATGAATCAGAGCCACCTTAAAGACACCTAACGACAAGAACTCTGATTTCAAAAAGAAAAGAATGCATAGATATTTACCAGATAATAATCCAACTCATTATAATTCTCATATTTTCAAGGATTTTTATAGTATAAGCTTTAAGTGGCTCTGTCAAGGCCCTTCAAAAACTACCATTAACCCATATATTAAGAATTTATTAATTTCTTTCCCTTATATTTTTTTGTCTTCCCACTTCCCAAAAGGACTCATTTAGTCCACAATTTTAGTCCTAGCTTCTTCTCCAAATTATTTAAGAGTTGCTAATCTAATATAAAATTTAATCAACTTGAAGAGAGAAAAAGTACAGAATAGAATGAATTAATCACATACCTTTCCTTACATTGTAAAAGACCTTTTAAGTTTTTCTCCTGAAGCTGTCAGGCACTCTCTCAGCACCCAAACACTTCTAAATTATATATACTTTTCCACAGCATTGTTAAATGAAACAAATATATCCCCTATCAGGTCATCTCGGTTCCCAGTATGCCATTCACAAAATGTAGGGTCTGGTGGCCTGTGTGGGGATGGGTCTAATTGTAGCCTAGCCTAGGAAGGGCTCTAACTCAAAATTTTCCATTGGTATCTAGAGGGATATTGATAAGCTCAACATACATAAGAGAATCTCATAAAGAACCAGAACTTATATTTGCATACACTATGAATCAAGGATTCGGAAAATCAAGTTTTTAAAAGGATGGAAGTGGAATTCTATTTTAGATCAGTGGTACTTCAAGAGTAATAGGAATACATTGAAGCACTTTTATCTTAGTAATAGCAATTGTCACCATCGTTCCATTTTATGTTTCTGTAAGGAACAAAAACTCCATCTGGACTCAGAATTCCAAATGAGAAAGTATTTTATGTTTCACTTAAATGAAATATTAAACATTGAGGGCCTTCAGTGAAACAAAGACATTTAGAACATTGAGTAATAAAATGCAGCTCTGACCCCTTTGGAGAGCCCCATAGACCAGAGCAGAATTTTACACTTGTACTTGCGCTGAGGAGGGATCATTCTCTGTGGGCTGAGATTGCCTTTAATTTTGTGTTTTCCTACAGGCACAAGCATTGTTCCTTTTCAGAAGAAACGGCTGACTCATACATCGGGATGGATGGCTCTCATTCCAAATGCAAATCACATTAATTGGTATTTTAGAGGGATAGATCACATAACTAACATATCATATACGTCAACGTTCTATGGATTTAAGGTAAACAAAGATGTATCACATCTGTATTCTGATCATGGCCATTGCCTATTACACTTGTATTTGTACGCGAACCACTCGGCAGACTCAGAATGCCTTTGCCTTGCATAACCTTTTGGTAAATCCTGCACGTGACCTAAGTAAGCCTTTATGACCTAAATCACCTCTCCTCTAGGGAGCGAGTCAAGAAAAGCCCCTCTGTTGAGCTGTAACCACTGATGCTGCCGTACGCCCATAACACTCGTTTGTGCGCCTGCTACTGTCACCACTGCAGTTAACAGCACAGGGGCGGATGTATCTGACCACCTCTGGCTGCCCGGTTGCCATGAGGCAGGGGTCAGACACGCCTCTGCCCTTTGCCCTTCTGTTGCTAGTCTGACACCAAGTGTTGCTCCCACACCACTCTACATCTATTCGGGGCTCAAGGATTCATTGCAATGGTCACCCAGCTCATAGGCAGGGCTCATGATTAAGGGAGTTTTAGGGAAGTTTACGGGTTACCACACCTCAGGATCAGTAAAAGTAAAGCTATAGGTGTCGCGCCACAGAAACACCTGTCCTCAGCAGCCAAGCAAGTCTCTCCTGAGCCCTGAGCCTGCCTGCCTCTGTGGACCACCAGGTCAGCCGCTTGGATTCAGTGCCTCCCCTGAGAAAGACGAGACTTTCTGCTTCTATAACGATTCACAGCCTCGGAACTCACAGGGACAAATTCTGCTCTGCGCATTTCAACTAACAGCCACCCTGTAGAACTGCCCCGTGTTTTGTTTTGTTTTGTTTTTTTAATGGATTAACTTGGGACATATGAATCCTTACCATAAAAATCACAACGCTAGACATATCCCATTGTCATTTAGTTTGCTGTCCTGTGTGCATAAAGTAAGGTGACCAGATTTAAAGCGGGACACCAGTGACTGGGGGGCGGGGGAGGGGGGTTAAAATTAAAAATTAAAATTAAAAATTTGGTCTATATGGACCAAATAGACCGTTCCCTAGCTTGTCGTGCATTCTTTCCAAAAATTGGGACTTTTTTAAAACGCCAAAAATCAGGACTGCCCCGCCAAAAGCGGGACGTCTGGTCACCTTAACATGCAGCCTTGGGAAAAGGTGTCATCTTGAGGCACAGGCTCCCTAGGAAAATGTTTAAACACTTTCTAAACCAAAACTCACTGCCATAGAGTGGATTCTAACTCATAGCAGCACTGGAGAGGGTTCCCGAGGCTGTTAATCTTTACAGGAGTGGATAACCTCAACTTTCTCCCCTGTTGCTGCTGGTGGGTTTGAACTGTGGATATTGGGCTTAGTAGTCCAATGATTACCAAAGGGCGTCACCAAGTCTCTTAGAAGCATATTCAGACATTAAAAATAAACAACACTCAGTTTACTGTATTCTTGACCATGTGGAATCTTGGCTGTCATTAATTCAGAATGTGTGTGTGTGTGTGTATGAGTTTGCATGTGGGCACACATGCTCTGCCATATACCTTCCTACCCACCTACTACCAATCTAGAGATCACGATGTAAGTCTGATTGATCCTTTCCTTGACTTATTAATACAGTTAGCATTATCACCATAGACATGTAAGGTGTTTATATGAAACGGGCAAGAGAAAAACCAAACTAAAACCCAAACTTTGTTTTTAAATAAAGTAAGGGCTAATTTTATGTGATAAAGTTAACATGCCATGCAGAGTATTAGCACATAAAACAAGTCATATTTTGCTGTAAACTTTTACAGAAAGAAGATTATGTAATCATATCTCATAATTTCACTCAAAACCCTGATATGTTTAATATTATCGATGTGAGGAATGCCTCTTCAAATCCCTTGAATTGGAACACCAGCAGGAATGGCGACTGGCACCTGGAAGCAAACACTAGCACTCTGTACTACTTAGGTTTGTATTCATGAGATGGCGGTGACGGTTTCCATCTGGTGCTGTGTCTAAACCAGCCTTTTACGCCTGGTCCCAACCGCTTTATCTCACAGAACTGGAGGACATGTGTACCAGACAAGCAGATTTATATATTTTGTTTTCATTATTTTTGGAAAATTCAATGCTTAAGAATAAATATTGTCTTAAGGTTCTAAAGCATCTATTTTCCCCAAGATATCTGGATTATGGATTTCTCAACAAGACACGTACACTTTGGCAGGATTTCTCCATCATATTCCATAAGTCTGAGTTATATGTGCCCCGGTGGCACATATGTATGTATAGTGACTGCGGCCCACCAGGTTGGCAGTTCCAAACCACCAGCTGTCCTCATGAGAAAGAAAGAGTTATAACTCAGAAACCCACAGGGGCAGTTCTGACTCAATGGCAGTGAGCTTTTTTGAGTTTTATTATTATCTAGAGAATATCTTCTAAGAATGCCATGAATTTTGGAAGCACTTTGATCCTCTTATTAATGTAAACTGCTTCTGTGTCACTATCAGTGTCAGGAAGAAATGACCCGCCGAGCCAGCCTGTGTCGGGGACACTGGATCCCGAGGTGACAGACGTCACTATAAATTTTCAAGCTTACTGCTGTATTCTTCAAGACTGCTTCCCTGTGCGTCCCTCTTCAAGAAAACCAATTCCCAGGACGCGGCCTGCCACATACAAGTGAGTTTTCTTGTTTAATAGCCTTGATACGTCTGACCATAACCACCTTTCACATGTCACCGAATGTTTAACTTCATTCGTTCATCCTTGTCAGTTTAGAGACCATTTTTCGCACCCCTCCATTCACAGAGTCAAACAACATCCCCCTCCCATTTTCCCCATGAAAGAGTAAATGAAATTTAAATGGGCCTTTAAATTTAAAAGTTAACATGCATTCATGTTAACTTTTCTATCATGGAAAAGTCTTCCAGGAGATTTAAATAATTTACATTTTAGACAAAGGCTCATAGGATTTAGTGGAGGAAAAATGATACCAATTGTGAATGGAAAGCTAATTTTCTTCAAAAAGAAAAACTATGTAGGTAGTTTTTGTGTGTTGAGTGTTTTAGTAATTGCATATTAACTTTTCTATTTAGTGAAACTCTGAACCACCTTGCAATTTATCATCTTAAGATGTTTAGCTTAGTGCTGCAGCTAAGACAGTCATTATATTCAAGGGGGCTTGAGGAATTTTGTAGGAAAATGGAATGAAAAGATAATGGAATTTTTCATTAACTGTTTGGAGTCCTCTAGTATATAGACAAGGGAGCCCTGGTGGTGTAGTGGTTATGTGTTGGGCTGCTAATTGCAAGGGTATCAGTTCCAAACCACCAGCTGTTCCTTGGGAGAAAGAGCTTTCTACTCCCATGAAGAGTTACAGTTTCGGAAACTCATAGGGGCAGTTCTACCCTGTCCTATAGGGTCACTATTCATCAGCATCTATTTGTTGCAGTGACTGAGTATATGGATAGGAGCCATGGTTGGCTGCTTTAAAGTCAGCAGTTTGAAAGCACCAGCTGCTCTAAGGCTTTCTACTTTCATAAAGATTTGCAATCTTGAAAACCCTCAGGGGCAGTTCTATTATGTCCTCTATGGTCACTGTAAATCAGAATCAGCTCGTTTTTGCATATAGAAATAACTGATGAGAAAATTTCTCTCTTTTTCCCAGTGTATGGTCAAATGATTCTTTTTGGCAATCATCTCGAGAAAATAATTATACCGTACCCCAGCCAGGAGCAAATGTGGTTATTCCTGAAGGTAAAAACATTAACACAAAGTTAATAAAATACTCAT